GATCAGCTGTGGCCTTCAAGCTGTCTTTAATTAACTGTAAGGCTATATCTCTTGAAAAAAGGACTTTATCTACCGCCTCCACCTTGCAACTCTTGGGAATATATGAGAGTAGAGAAGGAGGGGGTCTACCATATACTATTTCAAAGGGAGTAGAATGTGTAGAGACTCTCCATGTAGTATTATACCAGAACTCAGCAACAGATAGCCATTTACTCCATTCCTTAGGTTTGTGATAGCAAAAGCACCTTAAGTAACTCTCCAGATTCTTGTTAGTGATCTCAGTTTGCCCATCCGTTTGTGGATGATAAGCTGAACTAAACTTCAGCTGGCTTCCTTGTAGTTTAAACAACTCCCTCCAAAATAAGCTTGTAAACAAGGAATCCCTATCACTAACTATGGATTTAGGCATCCCATGCAACTTGAATACCCCTTCAAAGAAGACTTGAGCAACTGACTGAGCAGTGTAAGGGTGTGAGAGTGGAAAAAAGTGTGCATATTTAGATAGCCTGTCAACCACTACAAAGATAACAGTTTTGTTTCCACTCTTTGGAAGATGGGTAATAAAATCCATAGATAGATCCTCCCAAATATAATCTGGAATGGGGAGTGGTTGCAAAAGTCCTGGAGAGGCTACATTTTCTCCTTTAGACCTTTGGCAAACTTCACAAGCCTATACGTACCTCTGAACATCTCCCTTCATTCCTTTCCAATAGAAAGACCTTCTTAACCTGTGCAGACTTCTCACAATTCCAGAATGACCTGCTATGGGACTATCATGATGTTCTTTGAGCAGGAGTGTCTTGATATTTTGGGCAGTGGGGCTAATTAGCAGCTTGCCCTTGTAGTAATACATCCCTTCATTCTTGTGGTATTTGTTAGCCTCCAATTGCCCTTTTTGTAATTTGGCATCAAGCTCAAAAAAAAAAAAAAACTCATCTGTGGAGCACATATACTTGATTTCTTCCAACCACTCACTGTTGATAGTAGTAAGTGCTGAGGCTTTAATCTTCTGGGGTAGGATATCTTCTTCTGCTTCATACATTCTGGACAATCCATCTGCAACTTTATTTAATCTTCCTGGCTTATATTCCACCCTGTAATCGTAACCATGGAGCTTTGCAAGCCATTTGTTCTGGACTCCTGTGTGAATTCTCTGTTCAAGCAGGTACTTGAGGCTTTGATGGTCAGTTCTAATCACAAAATTCCTCCCCAATAGGTACTGTTGCCATCTCTTTGTAGAAAGAATGAGAGCTAAGAGTTCCTTCTCATAAGTTGATAATGTAGTATTCCTGCCCTTTAATGCAAAGCTAAAGTAGGATATAGGCCTTCCATTTTGCATCAGTATAGCACCAACTCCTAAACCAGATGCGTCACATTCAATTACAAAAGGTAAACTAAAATCTGGCATTGCTAGAACTGGTGGGTGAGTTAAAGCAATCTTCAAAGCCTCAAAAGCTTTTTCAGCATCTTCTCCCCAACTGAAAGCTCCCTTCTTCAATAATTGTGTCAGGGGCTGAGCTATAACTCCAAAGTTCTTGATAAATTTCCTGTAGTACCCTGCTAAACCTAGGAAACCTCTCAATCCTTTCAGTGTTTTAGGTTTTGGCCATTCAACAATAGCTTCAATCTTCTTAGGGTCAACTCCAACACCTTCCTGGGACACAACATGTCCCAAATACTCTACTTGAGTTTGTCCAAAGCTGCATTTAGACATTTTGGCCACCAGTCTATGATTGCTCATTACCTGAAATACTTGTCTCAAATGAAGCAAGTGATCCTGCCACCCTTTACTATATACCAATATGTCATCAAAGAAAACCAGGATAAATTTCCTGAGCATCTCTTTAAAAATAGAATTCATAAGAGCTTGGAAGGTTGAAGGAGCATTTGTGAGTCTAAAGGGCATGACCATGAATTCATAGTGGCCACTGTGTGTCCTGAAAGCAGTTTTAGGAATATCCTATTCACACATCCTTATATGATGATATCCAGACTTTAAATCCAGTTTAGTAAAATACTTTGTGCCATGTAGCTCATCCAATAACTCATCTATAACAGGGATAGGAAAATTATCTTTGATTGTAGCATGATTTAAAGATCTATAATCTATGCACATCCTCCAACTTCCATCAGATTTTTTCACCATGACTACAGGGGAAGAGAATGGACTGTTACTTGGTCTGATAATTCCTTTCTTCAGCATCTCTTCTACTTGTTTTTCAATTTCATCTTTTAAGAAGTGTGCATGCCGGTATGGCCTGATGCAAATTGGTTTTGTTCCCTCTTCAAGTGGAATTTTGTGATCTATGCTTCTACTGGGAGGAAGATGAGGTAGCTCTTGGAAAACAGTCTGAAATTTCTTAATCAAGTCTGACATATCTGCTGGCAATTCTTCATGTATTTCCTCTATTGTGCATGTTTGTAGGCCTACACTACATAACTGAATCAAAAATTCATGCTCTTGTCCCCTGAGTGTTTTGGAAATGGCCTTGCTATCAACCAGCTGCAATTCTCCTGGGAGTACCCCCTGCAGTGTTCTCTTAACTCCATCACTCACAAATGTTACCTATAACTTCTTAAAATTTAGAGTAATATCCTCAAGAGTCTTCATCCAATCATCCCCTAAGACAATTTGGCTACCACCCATTGGCATCACCAACAAATTAACCCGGATCTTTACCCCCTGACATTCTAGGGACACTTCTTGGCACACTCCACCACCTTTAATCAATTCCCCACTTGCTACTAAGACATCAAAACTATTAGATTCAGTTACTGTTAGTCCCAATTTCTTTACCAACTTGGAATTTATGAAATTGTGGGTTGATCCAGAATCTATTAGGATGCTAACAGCTTGATTCTTATAGTAGCCCACCACCCTAATAGTATGAGAGGCATTAATTCCACTTAGTGCTTGTACTGAAATAGAGGGTGCTCCTTTCACCAAACTCTCAGCTAACTCTAAGGTTATGTTTTCTTCTCCTTCTTCATCATCATCAACTTCATTCTCCTCTGAACCCCCTTGTAAAATCCCTTCTAAAAGGAACAATTGCTTGCCCTTGCACTGATGTCCTCTAGACCACTTTTCATCACAAGTAAAGCATAAATTCTGGCTTCTCCTCCTTTGTATCTCCTCAGGAGTTAGCTTCTTGAGTTGGAAAGGAGGCTTGGTGTTCTCTCTCAAAGACTGGTAGGGAGAAGAATTAGTTGGTGGTACTCCTAAGGTATTCCAGTTCCCCCTAAGTTTCTTTTCATTTCTAAGTTTATCCTCAAATAGTTTTGCTAGGGATATTGCTCCTTTTAATGATGAAGGTCTGGAGGCTGTTACTTCATACTTCAATTCCTCTTTAAGCCCCACTATGAACCTTTCCAAGATATGTCTCCTAGAAGGTTGATCATCCAGTAAGCTCAGAGTTTGTTCAAATCTTCCTAGATAGTCCCTTACTGAGTTAGTTTGTTTCAGGGTTGAAAAAGCATCATAGGGTCTTTATAATTCACTGGGTCCAAATCTTGTAATAATCTCTTCTTTAAAGACTTCCCACTGACAGAAATCTTCAAGATTCTTTGCAAGCCACATATACCATTGCAATGCTTCTTCTCTCAAATGGAAAGAACAGACCTTAACCCATTCATCACTCTTGATGTCATAATACTCAAAAATCTGTTCAGTTTGCTCTAGCCAGGCTATAACATTCTCATTTCCAGAGAAAGAAGGAAAATCTAGGCGTAGAGACTTGGGTTGAACCAACTTTTGATTACTGAAAAAATAATTCTTAGGGTAGAAATTACCAAGATTGAGTTTTGGTTGGGATTCACCATTGATATCTACCTCTCTGGGTGGTTGAAAGGTTCTTGGTGTCTGATCTGGACCATGTCTGTTCATTCCTCTAATACCTGGCCCTAAAAGCCCTGCGCCTTGCCTTGGTTCTGAATTCAACATTCTCCGTTCATCTCCAGCTTCTGATCTTGGAACTTCTTGACCTTGATCCTTTGATTGCTTGAATTCTTGGGCAATATTTTGAAACTGAGAAAATATTTGAGAAGATACTTGAGATAATTGAGAGGATATCTGAGTAGTCAATTGAGAAGACAATTCCTCCATCCTGGCAGTTAGTTGTCGAGTCAAGAAACTTTGTTGCATAACTGCTTCTTCCACCTTAACCAGCCGCTCCTCTGTAGTTGTTTCTTCCTAAGTAATTTCCTCAGGATCGGCCATGGCGTCGTCTGCAGCAGCTTCCGACTCCAACGAGATCTGCTCTGATACCAATTGAGAGGATTTAAAGCCTATGTTGAACCTTTTAGAATTATCCTTGGCCATTGAAACCAGGATTCAAGAAAAAGATAACTGGGAAGGGGAAGGAGAAGAGAGGAATTAGAGTTAAGAATTGAGAAGAGGAGATGTACTTTATTCAACTTGTCATTTGATCTGTACAAGTTCCCTTTTTATACAACTTCTCCTTGAGAACTCAGCATGTGCACGTGCACATACAGTGTCTGTGCAAAACTGAATTAACAGACTAACGGTTAACGTAACAAACTAACAACTAATGAGTTCATTTATTACACGCAAGCCCTGAACTATACAATTATTGTTCTATAGCCTTGGTTATTTGCATATCAGTCCAAGTCTTTGCGTATTAATCCATGTCTGTCTAAATCTTCAGCTTCAGCTTCTGCCTTTGCAGTCCCATCTTCAGCTCAGATGGCTAATGCCTGAGCTTCCCAACCTTCCTCTGGCTTCTCTATTAAGTGGTTAATTTCCTGCTGAATTCTAGCACCTGACACCGCGACCTCTCTTCTTCCTTCTTCTTATGGCGGGCGCGAAGGAGAGCCCTTCATCTCCACTCCGATTGTCGTGCTTAGGCTCTTCTCAGCACTGATGACAGCAGTCCCGACCCATCGAGGTCCCTTTCTCCTCTAAAACCCTAGTTCTGATAATGAGTATAAGGCCATCTGAAATTCAATTCTGCAGTTCGTGCATCATTTGGGACGTCGGCCGTCGCCATTAAATTCTTACGATTGTTTCATCAGCAATAGTATTGAGCAGAATTTGCTTTACCGCAGATTCTTTGTGGGTCTGATCGATTGAAAAGAAACAAACTTTACTGAATTTTTTTGATTCACGGTTGCAATTGTTTGTAGATGATGGGAGACATAACATAGAGGAATAATGAAATATATGCAGTAGCAAATACAGATAGATACGCTACCAAGTACCAGTTACAGGAGGCATGGACCAAATATATCCTCTGGCCACCAAAGAGGTTAGTCGAAGTAGAGAGCAAGATACCTGCTGAAAGGGTTTCCTGCCTCTGCTACTTTCTTTCAATTCAAGCGTCTACCTAAATTCAGTCGTTTGGTAAACCTACTACTGTATTTCCTTTCTTCATTAGCGCGATGTTCTTTCTTTATTGTGCATTGCTTAGCTATTGAGTATTTTTCTGATGTGAACGTATTCGATCTGCCTCCTTTGAAACTTCTATGGAGTCAGTGATGAGGCTAGAGAAACTGCTTATAAATAAAGTGAGCAATGATGTTTTGCGCAGCGAAAATTTCGGCAGAGTTTCTGGTGCACAATAAGAGAGAAAGATCCCAATAAGAATTCCTGTCTCACCAAGGAAACAAGAATCTGAAGCGAATATCTCAACAAAGTGAGATATCGGCTCTTCCTCTCATCAGTTCTAGGACTGACTTGTCGAGGGATCCTAAAAACTATTACAATGACCAAAAACACAAACAAATTAATTTTACGTGGTTCGGCAAATTGCCTACGTCCACGGGGCAAGGAGGGGGAGATCTACTATTAGAGAGGGGATAATACAACTAGGGTTTACAATCACTCAATCTAAACTCTCACACAATTATCTCTCTCAAAAGCATAAAAGGACTCTTTGCACGCCGCCCAAAAAGAACGCTGCCAACACTTTTGCACGAAGCCCAAAGCTCTGCACACGCACCCTTTTTGCTCCGCACACGCACCCTTTTTGCTCCTGCGATTTTTCTCCAAAAAACCAGCTCTGTCGCTGCTAATTTCAGAAGCTCCGTCTCTGTTTTCTCCCTTAATTCCTGCACTGCACAAAGCCCTAGGGAACTGCACATTGATATTTATAGGGGGAAAATCGGGTGGGCCTATCACGATCACGAGAATGTGATCTCTTCATCTCTTCACACATCTATTCGTGGCCCCCACTAGAAATCTATTCACGCGGAAATGAGCACGTTCACATCTCCTCACGAATTCTCGTGGACCCCACGAGAGCAAAAACCAAAAACCACTTAGCCTTTCATGTGCTTTCACAATTCTCCACATCGGCGAAGTTTTGTCAAAACTGAGCCGACACCAACCAAATAAATGTCTCACTTGTTGCGTCCAGGACGACGTGAAACAATTCACGACAACGGACTCAATCAACAACAAGTTGAGACCCAAATGAGAATGCAAACACTCTCTACATGTTGGTATCAACTCCCAAATCGGCTGCATCATAAATAACTGCCTACGTATCCTCTTGCCCAAGGAATCAAGCCTTCACGTAGTTCACCCAAATGGCCTCCAAAAGCCTCAATCCACTAGAAGAGTTCGCAACCCTTCTCCAATATCATCAACTCTGCGGCTGATAGCACCTCCAATGACCTCAAACACCTCCACCTGAGGCGAACCAATGGCCATATCCAAACTATGTCTGCCAGCTGTACTCGAATCAATCAGCTTATCATCTGCATCCGAATCCAAATGATCCCTAAGCTGTGTCACCTCAGCTGTAATCCCAAACAATGCAGTATGATCTGGAGTAATCTTCACCTAATGTGGAGTAGCATCACACTCCACCCGCTGCGATACCTCTAAGGTCTGTCCAAAACTCTCCACCTGCTGAGAGTCAATTAGCTCCCTCATCGAAGCCTCAACCGAAGTGACATAACCAGACCTATCTTCCAATGGAGTTTTATCTCCAATCACAGCAGTTGACAACTCTTTAATAGGATAACCCAAATATGTCGAAGCCTCAGTCCAGAAACTCTTCTGCAAACCATTGCTTGACAACAAACACCGATCCTCCTCCAGCAAGGCACGGTTCTCCAAATTTGCCACCCTATCAAGTTGCCCCAAGATTTTATTTCTAATGAAGTGTCTCGAAATACCGTGAGTTCGTCTCCAATACAGAAATAGGTCCATCTTGTACCTCTTACCAAAACCAGAATGAAGTACCTTTACCTTTTTATCTATCTTACACTTCTTCAAACTGTTAGAGACTACTAGGACTTTCTCCAATGGGGATTTGGTTGCAACCCAAACACGCCTAGAACAGCCACCAACAAAGGAAACCAAACGCCTATTACCTCCCAATGATGCCCCTTTGGAAGGCCCCTAAACATCCACGTGAACTCCTCCAGAACGGCCCTTAGCACGGTGAATAGAGGTGCCAAACTTTACCTCGGTCTTCTTGCTCACATTAACATGTTCACTGAACTTCAAACTGCAGGTCTTCGCACCCTCTTTCAATCTATACGAGGAATCAATACTGCAATGACTAAGCCCCAAATGTCGCAGTCTAGTTGAATCAATAGAAGTTGCCAGTTCTCCACCTGCCACTATACCTCCAGTCAAGTAATACAGGTTATTCCTCCTGACGCCCTTCATCACAATCCGAGAGTCTTCCACAATCTTGAGAACCATGTCCTCAATTCGAACATTCAGACCCTCTCCAACCAAAGCTCCAATTGAGATCAAGTTCTTCCTCAAAGAAGGAACATATCTCACATCATTTAACTCCCTAACAGTCCCGTCAAACATTTTTATGCGAATTTTTCCTATACCAAGGATCTGACATGCACGGTTATCAGCCATGTATACCACGCCACTATCCACCAGCTTCTCAAAACTGGAGAACCATTCCCTTCTAGGGCACACATGATATGTCACACCACTATCCAACATCCACTCGGATTCCTCCGAATAGCTACATGTAGGACTGGTAGAAAACGAATAAATAGAAGAGTCAGAAATATTACCATCCGATACGATGTTTGCTTCTGATGGTTGCTTCCTTTTTCCCTTCTGCTTATTCTTCATCCATTCTTCGAGCTTTGGGCAGTCTTTCTTCTAATGACCAGTCTCCTTGCACCAAACACACTGATCTTTTCTAATTGTAGGATGTCATACTCTAGACTGTGACTTCCAATTCTTTCGGTTTGAACCCTTCCCTCTTGCGATTAATGCCTCCGCTACTGGCTCAACTGAAGCCTCTTTATCCTTTTTTCGAAGCTGATAATTCACAAGTGCGGCGGTGACCTCATTATACGAAAGGGTTGCCTTCCCATTAATAAGAGTAAGGACGAATGTCTCATATTCCTCGTCTGGCAAGGAACTCAACAACAGCAACGCCTTATCCTCATCTTCAATTATGACATCCACATTCGTCAAATCCACAAGAAGCTTTGTGTAGGTGTTCATGTGATCTCTAATTGAGGTTCCCTTCTTCAACGAAAACGATAAAGTCTCCTCTTCAAATGCAAACGGTTCTCAACACTCTTTGTCAGATACTTGCTTTCGAGAATCTCCCAAATCTTCTTCGCAGAAGTCTCATTCATCACATCATATTTTAGATCTTGAGTCAAACAAGACCTAATCACACCACACGCCATTCGATTCATCTTCTTCCAAACATTCTCTTCAATATTATCTGGCTTGCCATCTAACTCCAAGGTATCCTCCAAATTCTGCGCGTTCAGCGCATCCAAAACCTCACATCTCCATTAGAGTGGATATTCAAACTCTGAATGGTCTTCGCGCTAGAAGCACCACCCTCGACACCCGAAGCACCTTCTTTCCCCGACATCTTTCTCAATGCACCAACGAACAAAGAATAGATCCAAAACTGAAAAGATAGGATCTTTTTATCAAAAGATCCCACATTTATCACCAAACGAAGCCCTGAACGAGCCTCCAAATTGATCTACTCCTCCAAATAGCCCAAGCGTAGCCCGAGCTCTGATACCACTTGTTGTGCGTAGCAAAAATTTTGGCAGAGTTTCTGGTGCACAATAAGAGAGAAAGATCCCAATAAGAATTCATGTCTCACCAAGGAAACAAGAATCTGAAGCGAATATCTCAACAAAGTGAGATATCGGCTCTTCCTCTCATCAGTTCTAGGACTGACTTGTCGAGGGATCCTAAAAACTATTACAATGGCCACAAACACAAATAAATTAATTTTACATGGTTCGGCAAACTGCTTACGTCCACAGGACAAGGAGGGGGAGATCTACTATTAGAGAGGGGGTAATACAACTAGGGTTTACAATCACTCAATCTAAACCCTCACACAATTATCTCTCTTAAAAGCACAAAAGGACTCTTTGCACGCCGCTCAAAAAGAACGCTGCCAACACTTTTGCATGAAGCCCAAAGCTCTGCACACGCACCCTTTTTGCTCCTGTGATTTTTCTCCAAAAAACCAGCTCTGTCGCCGCTAATTTCAGAAGCTCCGTCTCTGTTTTCTCCCTTAATTCCTGCACTGCACAAAGCCCTAGGGAACCGCACATTGATATTTATAGGGGGGAAATCGGGTGGGCCTATCACGATCACAAGAACGTGATCTCTTTATCTCTTCACACATCTATTCGTGGCCCCCACTAGAAATCTATTCATGCGGAGATGAGCACGTTCACATCTCCTCACGAATTCTCGTGGACCCCACGAGAGCAAAAACCAAAAACCACTTAGCCTTTCACGTGCCTTCACAAATGATCCTGGAGAAGAGAGAGCAACTGACCACTTTATGGGAGTAGAGTCCATCAAGATCAATAACAAGGTCGTTCTACTGAACGACATGTTTGCTAGATATATTGACAAGCGTTAGGGAAGAAGTAAAGAAACCGAGATCGAGATCATAGGAAATCACAACGAGACACAACCGCATAAATTTAACGTGATTTAGAACGAGTTCCGCCATGAGCAGCGACACTAATTAGAGAGATACACAAGAGAACCTCAGATCACAACTTCGTCTTGCCGATGATTATACTAATCTCCAGGCGGGGCCACCCCCTCTATGTATGACAGCCGGACAAAACCCTATATCCTTAAATTGAGTCGTTTTCCCATACAAAATCTCCAAAATGCACCCCTAATGAGTTCGGGTACAAAACAAATCTGAATCAGTATCAAAAGAATTTAGGAATGGTGTGGCCATTGTTTTCGTTTGTGAAAGAAATTTGCTTCTATTATTGGAATATCGTCTTAAATTCTTAGAGTCTATATTAATAAATTGATCTGTATTAATCTGTTCGATACTTTTACTCATTGAACTGTAACATTCTTTCGACTAAATTGTTCAAACTGTGGCGGTTCAGATTGAGGATTTGAAGGGTTTAAGGCAGTGGGAAAGCAGAACTTCTGGTCATCCTGAGACCTTAACACCTGGGATTGAAATCACTATTGGTAGGCATTTTGAGTAATAGAAAAAAAAATTGCAGATTTAAAAATTACCCTCTCTTTGTATGATTTATTGTGCTTGTAGTATTTATATTCTGTTTGTGGGGTTTGTTGGACTTTTAACCTTGATTAATTCAAAGAGAATAATCTCAAGAACGCGGAAGCATACCTGAATCCATCTGAATTTGTACGGATCTTAATTTTGGGTTTGAGATCTTCCAATCTGGAGGGTCTCTTGAGTTTCTCTCTTAGATGGGGGTGAACCCTTAGATTAGGGACCATAACCCCTATATATAGACTTGCAGTTTTCTAATTTAGCCTATCATTAAATTAGAATTGCAATATGATATCTGCACAATTAGCCTATGATATATTTAAATACTCATTGACCCAATTACCTGATTGATCACTTTATACGGGTCAGTTGCAAATATAGTAACACACACTGATGTAACAAATGTGCTCACAAATAGATTTAATTAGATTTAAATCCAACAATCTCTCACTTGGGCACCATATGTTTCCTTAAAGTGTGTACGACCGTATGAGCTCAAAAGTAGCTATCATTGATAATGGTATTTCCAAACAATCTCGTCCATTGAGTATATCAATATAGGATCAAAACGACATTCGTCACATTTATCGTAACTAAACCCATCAATTGTTACATATACCAATATAATCAAACGATATAGATCAATCATGGATGTACAACATAAAAAATTACATACAATTTGATCAGTACATGTCTATTTTCAACTGGTCCTACCTTAAACTTTAGTGAGGTCAACCTCAAACATAATGTGATAGAGTATATGAACTGGATACTTTATTTTGATCATACAATACAACCTAACATAAAGCATCACAAATTTTAAACTCCCGCTAAATCATGATATCCTCAAATAACACCACACCCATATGAGCAGTGTGCTCATGAAAGACCTTGGGTGATAATCATTTAGTAAGATGATTGTTATCATGGAGTTTGTTCTAATATGCTCTATGGATATCTGTCCACTCTGTACCCTTTCTTTCACAACTAGGAACTAAATGTCAATATGTTTTGACTTAGTTGAGCTTCTGTTGTTTTGGAATACATAACTGCTGATTTATTATCACAAAATAACTTTAGTGGTCTTTTAACATTTTTCAGAATGCGCAGTCTAGTGATAAAATTTTGCAGTCATATTCCCTAATTAGATGCCTCATAGTAAGCTACAAACTCGGCTGTCATAGTGGAGGAAGCTACAAGTGTATGTTTGATATTTTTTCATGATATAGCTCCTCCTGCTAACATATACATGTAGTCTGATGTAGACTTTTTGCTATCTTGACATCCAGCAAAATCAGAATCAAAGTACCCAATGACCTCCAACTGTTCTGATTTTATGTATGTGAGCGTATAATCTTTTGTTTTCTGAAGATACCTGAATCCATTTGAATTTGAGTGTATAATCTCAAGAACGCGCAAGCATACCTGAATCCATTTGAATTTGCTCTTAATATTGGGTTTGAGATTTTCCAATCTAGAGGGTCTCTCTTGAGTTTCTCTCTTAGATGGGGGTGAAGAGAATGAGAACCTTCACCCTTAGATTAGGGACCATAACCCATGTATATAGACTTACAATTTTTCTAATTTAGCCCCTCACTAAATTAGAATTGCAATTTGGTATCTGCACAATTAACCCATGACACATTTAAATATCCATTGACCCAATTACCTGATTGATCACTTTATATGGGTCGACTACAAAGATAGCAATACACACTGATATAACATATGTGCCCACAAATAGATTTAGTTAGATTTAAATCCAACGAGGTTTTCTTTGGTACAGGTCCTTTGAGTCAGGGTATTGCCTTTAAAGCGAGGCAGGAGTTATTTATGTGATGACCCACGATTCAATTGGGGTTGGAGAAGACGTGCCCGGCCACTAGGCCACTAGCCTGTCGAGCACTTAATCTGCTTTCGAGCAATGCTCAACATTTTGAGGCTCCGGCCTGCTGATGGTAATGAAACAGCAGGGGCTTATAGGATTGCAGTGCTCAACAGGATGAGACCACCTGTCACTGCAGTCTCAGGCAAAAGCTTCCTCAAGGTTTCTGTAACTTCAACTGAAGGAGTTGAAAAGGGTGGATACATCATTTCTGATAAAGGTGCATGTGCTCCTGCTGCAAAGATATTCGAAGAATTTGGATTCACAGTGGAGAATGTTGTTGCATTTGCAAATGCTCTGTATGTTTAAGAGAGATACTCAGGTTTTGGTTTGGTTCAAGTAGGAAGGAGGTTACTCCAGCTTCCTATCTTGTTTCGAACATGGCCTTCAAGTCTTGGAGGTGATCCTCCTTATGGCGACTTTTCACGACCAAGTCGTCCACGTAGCATTCGACCGTCTTTCGCAGATGATCTCGAAAGATCATACTCATGGCGCGTTGGTAGGTTGCACCGGCGTTCTTGAGCCCGAAAGGCATGACGATATAGCAATACACCCCCATGGGAGTTCTGAATGCAGTGTGTTTCTCGTCTTCGGGGTGCATTTTGATTTGCTTTCCTCAAAAAAAAAACATAAAAAAAACAAAAAACAAAAAACAAGACCCCCCTCACGCAAGGTTATGTTGCAATTGCCGTTTTGATCGAAACAATTCTGCCTTTTTTGGTGCCTCTCAATTGAAAAAGCGTGTTTGCACTCACAAATACGCACAGGAGGCCAGGAGGGATTTTCCAGTAAACGCAATTTCTAAACTACGTTGCAGTTGCTCATAACAATGCGTAAGTTGTTTTATCTTGAAATTAATTTATGCTCCTTGTCTGGATAGTGACAAGCAAGAATATCCTTTTTCTTTTATCCCCCTCTCTTTCTGGTGAAAGGGCCTGGTGAAAATAGTACTGGATTTTTATCCAAAATTATAAAGGGCTAAATACCCATATTAGTATTTTAGTTCAACCTCATTTGCCAAGAATGTATTTTAAATAAAAAAATCGGCGTTAATGTATTTTAATTGATTAAAATTACCAATTAGGTCCTTTTTCTCGTCGGCGACCACTTTTTCGGCGAGAACTCGTCACGTGTGTGACACGTGATGACTTAATCTGTATAAATACCCATATTGGTATTTTAATTCAACTCAATTTTTCAAGAAGGTATTTTAAATAAAAAATCGGCATTAAGACATTTTAATTGATTAAAATTACCAATTAGGTCTTTTTGCTTGACGCCGACCACTTTTCCGGTAAGAACTGGTCACGTGCATTTTAATTCAACCGGTTTTCTGACGTGGTAGTGGCAGGAAGAATAAGAGTCGATGCATTTTAAAATCCCCCATTTCTAAAATTGGTAAATAAATTAGCGAAAAATTCGTGGAGAAATTACCGTATAAATAGAACCTCTTTCTCTTGCATCGATCCATGGCCGCGCCGGCGGCAATCTAGTCTGCAGTGATCTTCGTCTTCTCACTCTCTTCTCTCCGAATTCCCATGGCGTTTTCTTCTAGAAGTTCCTGGAATCGGGGGTTTTGGCTGCTTCTGTTAGCGGTAAAGGTAAGATAATTGAGTTGGATCTGAGATCTGGAGTGAATGCGTGGAAGTTTGATCTTTGTTTTGAAATTTTTAGGGTTCAGGTTGGTTCGTTTTGGACTTAAATTGTGATTAAGCCACATCAGCAGCTAAAACCGAGCCACATCAGCAAACCGAGCCACATCATCAGCTAAAACACAGATTAAGTCATCACATGCCACACACGTGATGAGTTCTCACCGGAAAAGTTGTCGCCGACGAGAAAAAAGACCTAATTGGTAATTTTAATCAATTAAAATGCTTTAATGCCGATTTTTTATTTAAAATACCTTCTTGGCAAATGGGGTTGAATTATAATACCAATATGGGTATTTAGCCAATTATGAAGGTATAATTTTCCATCTGAACATACGTTTTCAGTATCAAATATCAAGACCCATTTGATAGGGTGTGTTATTGCAACATCTTGAGATTAATTTCGTTAGGAAACGAGGGCTTATCATGAATCTAATATTTAAGTTAAAACTTAGGGTTCTGAGGCTTAATGCGATATCATGCTTTAATCTTCAGATCATTAAAACGCATCCCGATTATATGTAAGTATATTGTATATATTTAGGTAAAATGTAATTTGGATTTTTTTTAGGTACCTCTATTTTATGTTTGTATTACAAATTTGAAATTATTTTGTACAAATTCAAAATTACCAAGAGACTGCTATAGCCTATAGGTTACTCTAATAAAATCTTCTATTTTTTTAGAAATTTATTATCATTTACCTTTGTAACAGCAATCTAATTCACTACAAATGAAGGTTATTTTTATGCTTTTGCTGTCATTTCTCCTTTGCTAGGCATAATAGGGTGTTTCCTAATTCTCGCAATGCCTTGGAAGTATATACAACCTAACCTAATGTATTTCAGACTATATAAAGGAGCCTAAATCTTAAAAAAAAAAATTCAAAATACGACACGCGGGTCAATTGGGAGACTATATGGAGGAGGATAAGAAAGGTATATCCCTAGATTATTAGGGCTCTCTCCTACGTCATTAGCCACATTTTGCGTCATGGGGAGGAGGTGATCATCTTTTTCTTGGTACTTATCCGGACTTATCTCTGCGATCCTTGTCTTGGGGCTTCTTAATTTATCCATATTCTTTTCCTCTCTCGTGCTGATTCTTCTAAAGCATATCAACAAGTCAACAACGTAGGTGTCGTTTGCCTCACTTTTCACACATTGCATATTATAATATCACATATATCTAATCAGACTGTCTCATGTACAGTGCTAAATGTTGACTCAATGTCACTGTGAACATGAACAAAATAGCTAAATATGTGATCTTTTAGCACATGAAGAGTCGAGGCAATTAAATGTTTAAATTTTCTCATTTTATGGTTGATTTCGGGTGCAAATATCACATCTTGAAGGGTCAATTTCTGCAGTCAATTATGTCCAAGTGCTGATTTCTCGGATTTAACCTAATATCGTATTCAACTTGGCAAATGGTTAAGGAAGTGGGGTTAAAGAGAATGATTAATGTACTTAGCCCATTTGATAATTTAAAAGACTAAATTATTAATCCGTTAAATAAGTTTTATTTTAGCTCTTATGATCAGTTTTAGTGTTTGAGAATAACAATGATTTTGACTATTTTCTTTATAATTAGAATGGTTAACTCTTAATCCTTCTAAATAGGTGTATTAGTAAACCCCTCATTTTGAGGGATTAACTCATTTTAATCCCTCTAGAGGGGTTAGCTTAACCATCTATGTTTTTTATGTTTGACAAATTATGGAGGGTTAACTCACTTTAACCCTTGTATATATTTTTTGTGTTTGACGGGTTAAGAAGGGATTAAGTCTCGTTAACCCCTCACTTAACCATTTGCCAAACGGTACCTATGTGACTTGTTCAATGAGAACTTTTATCATATAGAGATCAGAGAAAATTACATAAACTGATCAAGATGTAATCATCACTGCATGCGCAAGGTATAAACATCGTAACATAATCTCTTATTCACTGCAATATTCTCATCCTTGGCTCCATCAGGGAAATACTTGGTTTGAATAATAGGTGGTAACCTAGTCCTAGTGTGAACTGGCTGCTGTTGAAATATTTAACCATATATAGCGACAGTATCACTCTCAATCTCACCATTTTTACCTCTTCACAGTTTTACTGCTGAAACTTGGTATAACTTAATTAATTTATTATTCAAGTAAATTGGCCACATGGCTGGTCTCTTTATTTCTAGTCCTGGTTGGTATCAATAGGAACAGTTGCTCTGTGTGCGCTCTCTGCATGTGGTCCAAGTTCATTGAACAGTAATTATAGCAACATGCTGAAGATTTTTTAGATTGACACTTGATTAATTTTTCTTTCCTCATCTGTTTCTGACATTTTCTGAACAATTTTCTCGTCTTCACGGTTGCACGCTCGTCTAAAGTTTGCAAACCTCTTAAAAAAAAACCTATGTCCATAGATGAATATGAAATGATGCTGCAGCATCTCACTTTTTTATCCAGTTTATTACAATTTTGTAGTGGCTTATTGACTTATTTTATTTGTGTATGTTTGATTTAAAAACAATATGACGTTGACTATGCAAGCGACTGCTCTGAAGCCAGAGCTTGTAATTTTTCTTAAATGCGGCTGCTGCTGAAACCATTTGCTTCTTTATTCTGCTTTAGACCTCCGGCCTCTTGATTCTGGCTTACTAGTTTCGGTCTGTACCAATATTGGACTTATATTCTTCTTAACAATAAATATGCGTATTATACAATTACCTATGTTTATAGTAAGATATCGCATAATTTTATTATCTAAATATGTACCTTTTTTTATTGAGGAAGTAGGTATATTTCAGTTGTACCATTTTTACCTCTTGCACATCTAAATATCCACATTTCTTAGGAAGCGTATAGATACCCATATTTGTCACAATATGGATACGCATTTGAATTTGGACCCGATTGATTGTTTGTATCTGACGTCCAAATTCGTGATACATACAAGAAAATGCTATTTCTCCCATGCATAAAAGAAATGGTATTTTGAGACAACTACATCAGAATTCAAATTCGACTAGGATAAATAAGGGTTTAACCAACACATCATA